CAGCCCAGTTCTTTACTTCTTCACTCCTTCCCTCCTATGTAGCATCCTTTCCATCCCCATTCCCTTTCCAAGGGTAATCTATTTAAAACTATCCCTAGCAGTTTTTAGTACTGTACCTCTTCCTGTGTTCTGCATTGCAAAGAGCTTAGGAACCAGCTGGCAGAAAGTCCCTTTAAGGATCTGTGTGAAGGAAGAGTCACAAAATTCCGTTTAGCCCACTGTGGGCAGAGTCAAAACAGGTTTTTATTTATCTAGTAATAGGAACTATTACATTTATCATTTGTTTTCCTTTTTCATCATGCCATTTACAGTTTTTCTTTTACCATTATAATTTTTCTGCTTTCGTGTGAATTCTGAGCTCTCTGGATAGCAAGAGTGCCTTGGGTAGCTTCTCGTTTCTTCTCACTGCTAAGCGATAGGATGCTAGGTATCAGCCTGAATCAGGAAGGGACTTCAGAGGAGGAAATGTCATACCTCTACTGTTTCCATTTCTCTCCACCTAGCCTCTTCCCCTCTCTCCTTGTTCCTCACGAGATCAGCTTATTTATCTCCTGATTCAACACACAAGCTGCCACTACAGCTTTATGGCTATTTTAAGCAATGCTATCAAAGATGAAGATTTTTGTTCAATGAACAGTAAGACACCTCCCTGTGCCTTCAACACCACCTTGGTTTCACAGTGCCCAGGTAGCAGCACAGGCAGTAGGAGTGGGGATAGAATCCCAAGTTGCATCAAGAGGGAAAGAGACTTCCCTAACTCTTACAGTGCATACCTTCCCATCACACTTGCTAGCTGCCTTTGGACAGTGTGCACTCTACCCCAGACAGGTGTCCTCATTACTCTATGAGTTTTCAGTGATTCCAATATTGTAATACTTCCAGAAAATATATGATTTACAGAAGGACAGTGGGGGTGGGTAGCTTCTGAGGCCTCCTAGGTAGTGGAAGTATCTGAAAATCTTTCTAATGGGTTGAGATCGCTTCATTCCAGATGTCTCTTGGGGCACACATATTCTGAGTGGTTTGCTACCATCAATCCATTAGACTTCCCCTGGAACCTCTGCTTTTGCCTTCCCTGATTCCTCACAGAATTAGCTTTTTTGACTATTTTCTCATGTGCATAGCAGTTGTGATCTGTATGGGCTAAGAGCTACATTATTAAGACACTCTGGTTTTACTCACTAATAGCAAATGTGTGTTCAGTAATGTACTTGTTGCCATTGATCACAAGCACAAATTCATAATGGGTTTGAATGAGAGATATGGATAAATGGGAACACAGCCAGATGAGAGCAAAGAGGATAAAGTCCATTCATTTAGAGATAATCAGCAGGTTTCAAATGCTCTAGGCTTCAAATGTATCAGCCAATGTCCTCACCCTCTACGAGTCCATAGTTTGGTAGAGGGTGAATATGTAAACAGATAAATGCATAAAGTCCTTAGAGTCCTAGTATAGAAAAACCCACATCCCCAGAAGCAGGAGGCCTGCCTGGGTTGCATAAAAAGACCTTGTCTATAAAGAAAAACCCTACAACCTGTGGAGAAGGGAGAGAGAGAGTGACGCACTCTACAAGGCTTCTGTTTGGACAGCTACCTTTGTGTCGTGACAAAAAAAAAAAAATCACTCAAACTAGCTTAAATAAGAGGCAGTTTTATCAGTGTTGATAATTTAGGGAATCCAAGGATGGTTCTGGCTTTACATATGACTGGATCTGAGGCCTAGGCAATGTGTTGGGGTCCTGCCATCCCTATCTTTCATTCTGCTTCTCTCTGCATTGACCTCATTTTCTCCAACATAGACACATTACTTCCATGTGGCTTAGGAAAATAGCCCACTTAGACATCTATCATGGTTTAATCTGAGAGGAGAAGAGTTCTATTTTCCTAATGTTCACATGTCTGACCCTAGAAGTATCTCTTATGGATCCTACTTGGGTCACTTTACCACCCCTTGGATCAATCAGTCTTGCAAAAACATAAGGTAGTAGGGTTAGTCAAGCTGTGTTTTCAAAGATGAATCATCCTTTGTCCAATGGAGCAACGAGACCTCCATTGTTGTTGGAAGAAGCCGTAGGTGTAAAACCAGAGAGACAGGTGCCAACCTAGTAGGTTGGGAAGCTGCAGGTGGTTGTGGGTTGAAGACAATGGCTTGAGGATCACTCCTTGAGGTGAAGGTCTGAGACAGAGAGGAGACTCTAATGAGCTTTATTTTTACACTATAAGCAGTGGATACAGTCTGGGTTTTAGGCAAGGGCTAGAGGCAGCCAGATTTTCATAATAGACCATCACTCTGGCCTGCTGTGGAGGCACATGCCTATAATCCCCATACTAGGGAGGCTGAGGCAGGAGGATTGTGATTTCAAGGCCAGCCTAGGCTATACAGTGAGACCCTGTTGCAAAAAGAAAAAGGAAAAAGAGAAAGTATCATCTGGGAACAGTAAAGAAGGAGACTTGGAGGCATGGGGACCAGTAAGGAAACCATTACAGTAATCCAGATGAAGCAGCAGTATAGCACTTCTGTGGTATGCTAAAGGTGCTAACATAAAGTCTACATGTGCAAGTTGGGAGACAAGAAGGGAATCTTAGGATGGCATTATGGAAAATATATAAACAACTGAAAGCAGGATCAATAGGACTCTCGTCTTTTAAGAAGATGTCTAAGATAATTCAGATTTCTGGTGGGAATAATGTTGCTTGCTGAGGTGGCTACAGAAGGACCAGGTGTGAGAGGAGGACAAGGAGGATGGCTGAGGTGCCAACTGCACGTGTTGAGTGTGATGGAACGCTGGAGTTGGCATGCCACAGTTACCACAAGATGCTCAGTGTGGGAATCTGGAGCTGAGAGGAGTAATAGAGCTCCAGAGTTGTGAGGTTGATGGGACTAAATGTCCCAAGAGTTACTGGTTTGCTCTTAGTTAAGGGAAGAAGAAATGTGGATAAGAAGGCTAGTTAACAGAGAAACAACTGAGACCTCAGTGGTTCACGTGAGCAGGTGTCAAGAACCCAAAGTGTGTTCCTTCACGGTGCCTCATCAAGCTTGTGATTTGACTCACACCTGATTCTGAACAGAGGCGGATGGCATATTGTGATGGTTAATTCTTGATTGTAAGCTCAATGAGTAATAATTCTGTTCGGGGAATGGTTCGTTGACATGATGGGCAACTCTGAAGTGAGAATTTTCCATAAGAATGAAGGCACGGGGGTGGGAAAGCCTGGGAAAGGTTTGGAAAGGACAAGGCATATAGTTAGAACATGAGCATTGAGTCATTGGCATCTTGTATGCAAAACATACTATATCTGGTTCTGGATTTAAATGAAGGAAACCTGTATATGTTGATGGTCAGTGGGAATGAATAATAAGATCTAATAAACTTACTTTTGAGAATTCCCAGGACCTGGATGGAGGTCCTTGTCTTAACACAAAGTGCTTCTGGGATACTGAAAGGTGGGCTTTCCCCACTGGGTCCCACATTTTCCCCACGTAAGTGCTATATGCTATGTTCTTAGACACGCTCTTGGGTTCTATAGCATCAGTAATGCACCACTGATTGATGTCCTTTGGTGACTAGTTCTTAAAATATTCACAGCAGAGAGATTCTGACTTTGGCAGGGAGATTTTGTCCCTACTTAGATATTACATTCTAGGGGCTCAAGAATATGAGGTAATATTTCTTAAAGTCTATGTATTGCACAGGAAAAAAAATCTTGATTATAACAACAACAAAAAGATTGTTGCATTGATTTGAATAGCAGTAGTACAATCACATCCCTTGGAACTGTGGCACTGCATACAATCAAAGCTTCCATTAATACTGAGCGTGGCAGCCAGACTTCTGCATCACCGTGGCCCCTAGGGACTTGGCTGTTGTATTGTAAAATACTGTTACGTCTTGCCTAACAAGTTTCTCCTTATGTCTGTGAGTAAAGGAAAATGATCCAGTACTGAGCATGTCTCAATAAAATGCCCCTGCACACTTCAGCAACAACACTGGGGAGAATATGGTGGTAAGGGCAGGCCTTTCTGTTCTTATGAATCAAATTCCTATGATGTTTATTGTCTGCACTGGAGAAGAAAAATATGAAGTGTGTGCTTTAACAGAGAGGTTATGGTGGAAATCCATCCCTTTCAGATGAGGCTCTAGGCATTACCTACACAAATAAGTGTGTGACAATAAGAATAATAACAGTCAGCAATGATTGAGTGCTTGCTGTATGCCAAGCTTTGTTCTAGGCCTTTTGTCTGTGTCATCTCACTTATAAGACACATTCCAGCCATGTGGCTTGGGGAATTTTTAGTCTCTGTTCAGGAAGTGACTGAGACCCAGGGAGGTAAAAACTTACTAAAGGGCACACAGGTGGCAAGGGGCAGGGCTGCTGTTGAACCTAGGCAGATCCCATGTCTTATTTATCATAAACTCAGCAAGCCCCACCCACATGAAATGCTTTCCCATCCCTCCCCCCGGGCTTCTTTAAGCAAGGACCACCCCTCTTATTGGCATTGTTTGGTGTATACAACTGAATGATGTGTCCTACCAAATTTTAAATCATATCATATTCTGCATGCATAGATGAAAGGAATACAACAGTACAATTCCCCCACTCTGTTCATTCTGTCTTAGCTGCAGTTTGTAGCAACCTCTGTCCTTCGGATTGAGACATTTTTATTCTTTGTCTCCAAATTAATACTGCACAACACAGTGAGCCGTGTGTGTGTGTGTGTGTGTGTGTGTGTGTGTGTGGCTTTTTTCTCCTGGATTAAATTGTTGCAGCCTGGCTGAGTTGAGCCACTCCTTGAGCCCACTGCAGACATGTTCAGAAAATGCTGCTGCTTGCAATCCACCCAGCGATGGTGGGGCAGGTGACGCTGCGCGTGTGCCCAGCCTCTCTCAAAGTGTCTGCACAGATGTGTGCCGCTTCTGCTCCCACTCCCTGCCTTCAGATTCCTGGAGCCAACACCCACCTGCTCTGACAGCCTCTCTTTCTCTCTCTTCATTTTCAAGGAAAAAAGAAAGAGGCAGACAGAAATAGAAGGCAAGCGACGACAGTTGGAGGAGCAGGTACTGCTGCTCCAGCATTCCAAGGTAAGAAGCTGATCTCACCAACCTGTGCCCATATTAGCCATGCAGATCACACATCCCAGAGCTGGGCAGAGCCTGCCCTGCTGCGGAAGCACCGTGCTGACTGAACCCGCCCTTTACATGCCATCGAGAAAGCATTTCTTGGCTTTCTGTGTAATTTCTCTCAGATTCAGGCATCCTCATAGCATTCTGCAGGCATGAGATTACACTGTGCCTGACAACGTGGTGGTTATATATAGAAGCTGGATGCGAACACCCCACATGGTCCGGTGCTGTTTCCCTGTGTGTTTGTTCAGACTCCAAAGCAACACTTCACAGAATGTACTTTTTGAAAATGGAAAAGAATATCTTTTCTGATATGGCAGAAAGGGAGATAAGACAGTGGGATCTGATAAAAGAATAACACTGTATTTCAGATTGTTCATCTGTTTTATTTTGACTTTGCAATGTTGGAAATGTTCTGTTAAAATGAGCAGTTGGTCAAAGATGGCTTTCAAATGATTTGACTTGGTTCAGTGTCTGTTGTACCTTATCAAAAAGAAAAAGGGGGAGAAAGAGGGCTGTTGCATTTTTTCTTTCAAACATAAGGCACTTAAACACTGTAATTGATTGCAACCCAGGAGACAGTTCTGTCACTGTCTCGGGGACTCCACTGGTGGCAGAGTGTTGCATTCTGCATGGTCAGATAATAATATGGCCATGTTCAAGGACCAGCCAGGAGTTGCTGCTCATCTTTGATGATTCCTGGGCTTTTTAAAGGGAAATCTACTGCCTGCCTTAAGTTGCCATGACCTTGTGTGTGCAGAATTGCTTTGCTCTGAGGGCCGCTGGGAAGGGGCTGCTGACTCTTGGGTGATGCTGGGATATGGATTGTTGGGACTCCTTGAAACAAAGTGAACCTTTATGCTTATATTTCCTGTTCTCTAGAAAACTAGGTTGTGCAAAATGAATCCTCAGAGTGAGAATTCTGAGCAAGCTAGCTTGTGATTTCAAACAGTGGCATGACCCACATCTGCTTAGCCTGCTTATCAGTTCACCATGAACTTTAACCAGGGGAATGTGTGCAAGAGAAAGAAAGGCAGCATTCTTTGTCCATCCTGTCAATCCATCTTCAGGCCTTCAGGGCCTGCTCTATCCACATGCTGTCACCGTCTTTTGACAGCATTCCCAAAGGGAACACGGGCCAAAATTGGGATCTTCTTACAGAGGGGTGATTACAAACACGAACAGGACTGAGCGAATTGCTTAAGGCTAGTCCAGACAGGGCAGAGTCTCTGGCCCAGAGCACAGGCAACTCACCACTTCTAAGAGAGAGACATATACTGAGAACTCAGTGAGTTATTGGTTAAAAAGATAACTTTTTAATAAGAGAGGATGCTTTGGTCAGACAGCCTCTGTCCTCCCTGACCTCTGTACAGTGTTCTGCTTTTTGTATTATTTGAATACAAAGTCAGAGAGTGAACAGATGTCAGAAACCAAGTTCCTTTTGTCTCCTGTGTCATCATTCTGGGTTCCAGATAGATTCTAAAGAATTATTCATTGCTGATATCCAGCCTAGTGTTACAATATTCTGTTCACATCTCATCTGTCCAACCATCCATCCATCCATCCATCCATCCATCCATCCATCCATCCATCCAATTAGTAGACACAATAGTAAAATTGACTTCATTTTATGTGAAGAAATAATGATGCTCCTTCAAGGACATGGAAACATAAGAATCAGCTAGCTCTATCTAAGGGAACATGTAACACTTCTATCAAGGTAATCTTGCTGGAACTGGAGGAGGGCAGGGCTGAAGGTCATCGTAGTTTAATAAGTGGAGACCAATGCATTGTTTTCCTCTCTCTGAGCAAGGCTTGCATGGACAGAGATTATCAGCCTTGAAAACTATAAAAGAAAGGCCCAAGGCTCCAAAGGTGGCAGTGTGCATAGGGTACCACCTGCAGGGGTACCCAGTTTCTATGGTGGCATCAGTGGTAAGGCAAAGGGAGAGTCACCTCAATGGGCCTCGGTGTGACCCAGGTGAAGCTTCTAAGGCTCTTTGTTCTCAGCCCAGCTTCCCTAAAGTAGTTATCTGGTTTCCATATAAGGAAGAGAGTGTTTGGCTGAAGCCTAAGATCACCTCGTCATCAAAAAGGAGTAAGTTTCACTTTAGATTAACTGGCTGTGACTGAACTGAATAGTCTCTCCCCAATCAGTCAGTTTCCATGGTGGTGGAGGTAAATTGCCTTGAGGCTGTCTGTGTCCTGTGTGAGCTTCCCTGAGGGGCACTGCCAGCGTTGTCCTGCATCACAGCAGGCTTCACAGCCTCCTGTGCACACTTGGTAATACTCACCATTTGTTTCTGAGTACCCGGCATGTGTCTGGTACTTTACATATAAATTCTCAATCATCAGCACAAGATAGGTATTACTCTCCCCTTCTCACAGTCTGGAAACAAACTCATGATGGCAAGTAATTTGCTCAAGGGCACAGGGACTGTGAGTGAGGGAGCAACTTGAACCCCAGGTCTGTCTGTTTCCAAGGCTCTTCCCAGGACATTTTTCTCTTTGAATGAGATAGTTCCTTCTGAGTAATTTGTAATGACATGTGCCAATTGCCACCATCACTGTCTCTCTTGCTTTCAGTATATTTTCATTGGTTGAAGAAAATTTAGACCATTGGAGACATGTCAACGTGATCACTGTAGGTGTCTTAAAGTCGAAAATATTAGAAAATATGTCAGTAGTTGACACTTATTTCACTAATTTACAAAATCCCAGAAGCTCTTGAAGAAAATAAATATTCATGGTGCAAAGACAAATGAAAAGCATTAAAGTTAGATTTCCTGTTTAGTGCTCTAATGTTCTTTGTGCAATTCTCGTATCTGTATTTCACATATCAAATAGCCTGTGGATACTTACTGCCAAGCAATGAGCTATGAATTATTTAGACAGAGTCACTGGTCTCTTGTCAAAGCAAATAAATAGAATGCAAGGTAATGGTTTTGGCACTTGTGCATTTGCTTAATATTCTTGCTCATTGCAATATTTAGGGAGTTTATAGTAACTCCACAAAAGAGAAGATCATTGATGTGGAGTCTGTGAGCAAATTCTTTAAAGCAATGAAAGACAGAAGTATGAAATGTTAAGATCCTACCTGCCACACCCCAGTGATAGGAAACCTTAATATGCTTCAGTTTTAGAAGATGCTCATCTTTATTTAGCCATTCATTTATATATATATATATTTTTGAGATGGGGTCTCCCTGTAACCCCAGCTGTCCTGGAACTCACTGTGTAGACCAGGCTGGCCTTGAACTCACAGAGATCTGCCTGCCTCTGCCTCCAGAGTGCTGGGATTAAAGGCATGTGCCACCACGCCTGGCTCTCCATTAATATTTTTGATGTAAGATTTCCCAAGAAACTGGTCCAGATAGGACCAGTAAGCAATTTTGATAGTTATAGTTTTTTTTTTGTCTTGTTTGAAAAGGAAGGATGGTATGATCATTGCAAAAGCTACATTTAAAAGAACAAGAATGCAGCAAGAAAAACATATCAACTGAATTCCTGCAGTCCCAATCTAATTCACACAGAGTGCATGCTTCTTTCCCCAGGCCCCCAGCATGTCTCTGTGGACTGAGATGTGTAACCCTGTTTACAGGCTTCATCAGCCTGCTGGTAAAATGGAAATATGTTGACATTTGTATCCAAATAAATCCCTTGTTTTGATTTTTTTTAATGCGGCCTCTTTTAAATTCTCATGCCAACATTTTTAATTCTTATGAAATTCCATCTGACATACTTTATGGTTTTTTATTTAAAAATCATTCCCAGGAATATTGTCTTCTCAATGTCTGCCCTTAAGGTTTCTTATACTTCAGTACTTTTAATTCATCAAGAATTTATTTTCCAATAAAGTATGAGGTGGGAAATAAAGCTTTCCATTTTTACTCAAAGTGAGACACTGTCTCGACGTGATTTATTAATTCTTCCTTTCCCTCATTGATTTAAATGTCATCTTTATCACATACATATTTTACCCTTATACTCAAGTCCACTCTTTGTGATTCTTTATATTCCGTTAATCTTCTGCCCACTCCTGGGCCAGTACCATTCTCATCTAATCCCTATAGCTCTTTACTATATTGTAATATTTCATGAGGAGAGACCCATTATTCGTCTCTTTTTGAAAAATTGTTTTGGCTCTTTTTTAATTCTATGAAAACAATTATTCATCTTTATTATTGATATACTATGACTTGTGATCATATGAATTAAAAAAAAATAAATCAGCTAGTATATTACAGCAGCACAGACTGACTTTAATATTCCTCTTTTGGCCCTTGGTTGAATGACAGAGATCTGTCTATTTTATTGGTCTGTTCAAAGTCTCTGGGCACAGCACATGATCTGTGTACATTGCAACATGCAGTCTTCTGGGATTTCCACATTTATAAAGTTTTGTCCAAGAGTTGGCTTTGTCAGAACCAAGATGCTAATATCACATCTTTGATACTATTCAGACTCAAAATTTCTTATGAGCAGGGAATCCTGACTAGAGTTTTCCCCTAACCCAAGCTATAAAAGTTGTCATTATATTTTAAAGATCACAGCCTTTCCTTTAGAGACAGATGAATGAAGAAAAATATCAAAGACTAAATTGTGACCTTGCAAAATATTTACTGCCAACCCATCAAGGTCATTGCTGAATAGATCTAAGGTGTTGGAAGCCTTGCTGCAAGGAAACTACGGTGTCTCTATTTTGAAACGGCACTAATTTCTGAATTTTCTTGGTTATTACTATATATAAAAGGTTGCCATTACATTGTTTTTGTCTTTCACCATTCTAATTGGAAAACAAATATAAATGTGAAGAAAGATGTAAAATGTGTGAGGTATTTTACAGAAACATTGGGCTATTAGATGCCATGAATCAGCTTTTTATTGAATTTTTGTGATTTTCATACAATATAGTCTGGTGGTATTTAGATCCCCTCCCCTATCCCTATCCGCACTTCCCCCCATTTCCCCCTACCCAATTTAATGTACTCATAGATATATTTTATACATATATATGCATAAAATAAGCCCTAAATATTTCTCAGATAGACAGCAGTAGGCCACAGGAAGGAACTTTACCTCTTATCCCGATTTCTGTCACATCTCCCCTGGCCCTATAATCAGAGTTTGAGTGAAGGGTAAAATTCCATTTTTTTTCTATCAAAAGTCTTGGGTTGATGTCCCTCTGTTTGAACTGCATTATGTAACAAAACCTCAGCACCAAACCAAGGTCTTCTTAGGCATCAAAGAGGAGGAAAGGAAAGGACTGGAGGATTAGGGAAGGGAAAGAAGGAAAGGACATGAATGAGTCACTGAAAATACAGATACAGGCCTGGGGAGATGGCTCCGTGATTAAAGTGCTTGCTGTGCACGCAGAAAGACCTAAATTTGGATCCCCAGAAACCCACATAGATGATGGGTGGATATGGTGACCTGTCTGTAATTCCAGCTTCAAATGGATCCCCAGAGTAAGCTGGCTATCAAGACTAGCCATATTGACCAGCTCTGGGTTTGATTGAGAAACCCTGCCTCAACAATTACTGTGGAAAGAGTAATAAGGATGATTCCCAACATTAACCTGGTGCCTCCACATGCACATGCACACACACACACACACACACACACACACACACACACATACACACACGACCAAAGAAAAGAAAAGAAAATGCAGATACAGTTATTGCCGCCCCCTGAGTCTAACCCATTTTCTGTTAGAAAGTTGAAGTTAACCAGATTCCATCACTCATGAGTGTAGCCGATGTTTACTTTAGCCAGATTACAGATGAGTGGATGATTTGGGGTAAAGGTAAAATCATGAAACCACAAGGATAAGTCACAGATAAGTGTTTTTGTGATCTGAGGGTAAGGAAGTCTTATCTAAGTCCAACATTAATGCCAGAATTATAAAGTGAAAAGATTGTTAATGAGGACTTTATAAACATGACAGATACCTGGCAGAAACATATTAGAGGTTTCTTGCTTATCCTGATCCATTTCCTACTTTGCCAGTCTGCCCTGCCCACCTACCCTAGACACTTCTTTTTCTTTTCTTTTGTTTTTATTGAATTTTTTGTGTATTTCATACAGAACATCTCAAACAATCATCTTTATACCCCCATCCCCCCGGCACCCTTCCATAGCCCCCTCCACTGGCATCCATGTACTCTGTCATCCCTGTTAAGATTCACTGTGTCATCAATGTCCCCAGCCATTTTTCAGTGCAAGTCCATCCTCTGAGGTCTATTCAGATAGACACTTCTTAAGAGTGTAGTTACTCTGGCTTTAGATGAAGATTTGGACAGATGATCTTGAAGATCTTTCTTAGCCTTTGTTAGGCTAATATTCAGTATTTGCTAAAGTGCAATGTGTCTGCATTGATTTTCAGTAATTCATTCCTTCAACAGTTACTTCTTATGATCAACTACAACCTTGTATGTTAACCTCGTGGATGGACACATGATAATAACACCTGACTGTGAGGGACGCAGGGATCAGGGTTGGGTGACACCAATGTGGAACCTGTTGCTGGAGATCCTGAAGAATAGCTATCTATATGAAAGAGAAGGGCAGTGTGTCTGATAAGTTTATAAATCTTTTAGAAAATATTTAATTTATTGTTTTTACTTAATGTCTATGAGTGTATTGTCTGCATGTATGTAAGTGCACTCGTGTCATGCAATGCCCACAGAGATCAGAAGAGGGCATTGGATTTCCCTGGAACTGGAGCTATGGATGGTTGTTAGCTGCCATGTGGGTGCTGGGAATCAAACCTGGGTCCTCTGCAAGAGCAGCCAGTGCTCTTAACCACTGAGCCATCTCTCCAGCCCCATGAGTTTCTAAATCTTATTTGGGTGATTTTGGGCACTAGTGATAGAGCACAGAGTCTCATACATATTAAGCACATTGTTTGCCATTGGCCTATATCCTCAGCCTCCTAAAGTGATTCTTGGGTAATCTTATTCTGAGGTACAGCCTGTCTACAGTCACTTTAGCTGCACAGTTAGTAATCGCTTATATGTGAGCAAATTCATATCTTGGTCTTAGAAAATTGCAGAGTGCTGTTAGTTCTTCTTAAGCAATGTAATAGTAATCAGAGCTCTACAATGATTTATAATGAAATTATTTACTAATCTCCTAGGCATCTCTCAATCCAATCATTATTAGTCATTAGCCATTATTCCTATTTTCCTTCTGTTACCCTCTGTTACTAGAAAGAATTGGTCCTGTGCCCCAAGTCTTCACAATAGTTTCATTCCTATGACCACTGACCCACTTGTGAGTTCCCTCTGGTCCTCAGCCATGATGAACAAGGCCAATCTTCATAGACATCAGGTAGACAACCATCTGCCATGTGGGGGCCACAAAGTGGGAACTCCTGGCTTGCCTAGTCTCCTGCTCTTCACTTTAGGAAGCTTAAACATGCCTTCATCTTACATTGTTTTCATCTCACTTCCCAAGGCATAATAATTTCTTCCCAATCACTGAACTGAAATGAAGATGTTTGATTTTACTCCACAATGTAGTACACTGTCACAGATGGAAAATACCATGTCAGCATTAGAGACCATTGCTGAGAATGTCTGAGTCACTCAAAGGTTTTAAAGATGGGGCAGGCCAGGTGTAATGGTGCATGCCTTTAATCCCATCACTTGGGAGGCAGAGACAGGTAGATCTCTGTGAGACTGAGGCCAGCATGGTCTATGTAGTGAGTCCCAGGTCAGCTAGGGCTATAGGGAGGGTCTGTCCAAAAAAAAGTAAGGCAGGTAGGAACCATGTCTTAGTGGTTAAGGGCACTGGCTGCTCAGCTGCATTTACAGAAGCCCTGGGTTCAGTTCCCAGCATCCCAGCTACCACATGAGTTAACAACCAGCTAATTCCAATTTCAAGGGATCTGATGCCCTCTTCTGGACTCCATAGTCACTGAGCACACATGGTATACTTACATGCAGGGACAATACTCATACAAAATAAAAATAAAATGGTTTTAAAACGTTCTAAAGGGGGCTAGAGAGATGGCTCAGTGGTTAAGAACACTGGTTGTTCTTGCAGAAGACCTGGGTTTGAATCCCAGCACCCACATGGCAGCTAACAACTGTACTAACTCCAGTCCCAGGGGATCCCACAGCCTCTTCTGACATCTACGGGCATTGCATGACACAGATGCACTTACCTACATGCAGGCAATACACCCATATGCATAAAATAAAAATAATAAATAAAATATTTTTTAAAAAGGTTTTAAAGATGAGGCTTGATGCTAATTAATCTTCTAAACGAGGACATTTTAATATAGACTGCATATTAGGTGATCTTAGAAAACTTCAATGGGGCTGTAGTTGCATAGGAAAATGTCCTTATCCTTTTTGGACATTGATATTCAAATGTTGATGGATGAAATGCCATAGTGTTTGACATTTACTTTAAAATGTTTAGGTGAGGGGCTGGAGAAATGGCTCAGTGGTTAAGAGCACTGACTGCTCTTGCAGAGGCCCCGGGTTCAATTTCCAGCATCCACATGGCGGCTAGCAACCATCTATAACTCCAGTTCCGGGGGGGAACCAACACCATCTTCTGATCTCCACAGACATTGCATGACATGGGTGCACCTGCCTATGTACAAGCAATACACTCATACACATAAAATTTTTTTAAATGTATGAAAATACAGGAAAACATTTATGATTACTAAATCTAGATTTGTTTTCATGGGCATTTATTGTATAATTCTCTCTACTTTTCTGTTGATTTTTTTTTTTTTTTTTTTTTTTGGTCTTTTTGAGACAAGGGCTCCCTGTAGCCTCAGGCTATCCTGGAACTCACTATGTAGACCAGGCTGGCCGCCTGCCTCTGCCTCCTGAGTGCTGGGATTAAAGGCGTGCGCCACCACGTCCGGCAATTATTTTTTTAAACAATAGAAAGCATAGAGACCACCATCGAAGGTCGCCTTATTAGTGAGGCCTTTTGAACCCATACAGCAGGACCTTTCTTATCCCTGTCTCTACTCCCCATGTTCACAGAACCAGGGAAAAGAGATACATATGTGTGTTGTGTGTGTGTGTGTGTGTGCGCGCACGCATGTATATGTGTGTGTACATAGACATATATGGGAAACACACATATATATCTTGCTTGTGTATATAAAATATGTCTTTGTGGTCTCTTTACTAAAATAGCTGTTGCATAAGGCAGAAATTTGTTTTGTTTCGGCAGTCAGAATACTGCTGGGTAGGTGGTAGGGTCTCAATAAATAGGCAACTGAATTTCAAAACAAAAGATGAAGAAACAAACCAGTCTACGAACCCCCCGGGTTGCTGGGCCAGGAGGAAGTAGGGAGCCAAGTCAGGGAGGAGGTGAAGGCAGTGGTCAGGACAGTAGAGGAATGGAAACAGAGGCCATGCAGGTGCGGAGAAAGGTGTGGGCTGCGAGATGCCATCTTATCTGTTGTCTTCCCTCTATCCCATAGTCCAAAGTGCTTCGGGAGAAATGGCTGCTGCAGGGCATACCGGCGGGAACGGCGGAGGAGGAGGAAGCCAGGCGGCGGCAGTCTGAGGAGGATGAGTTCAGAGTCAAACAGCTTGAAGATAACATTCAGAGGTAGGCCATTTCCAGTCCCGCAGTAACCACCGCTCTCCTGTAGGGGGCGCTGCTCCACGCTTCGCCCTTTTCCCAGTGCGTTAGAATCACCTTCTGAACACTTCCGTGTGAACCAGCGTTATACCTCACAGTATTAATTTTGTATTGGTCTATAATACAGATATGTCTTTACGGGGCAATGAGGTATTAGAAGCAGCTTGCCCCTTCCTCAGATCCCACCGTTTGAGTTCTAGCCTTTTTCCTGAGTGGGTCCAGCTGTTGGCTGTTTGGGCCACGATCTTTTCGCAGATTTGCCACACGTGACCAACTGAAATGTGAGAACTGTAACCAAGACTCCCTGAACTGAAATAAAGAGTATGTAGGGAAGAGCTGGGGAGGGGCCACTGTAGACTGCATGCCTGGGCTCTTCCTCCATGCCTGGGCTCTGCACATTTACTTTGTACATCAGCCTTGCCCTGCACGGAGGTGCTTTGCTTTCCTATGGCTCTCAAGCAGGTTCTGACTGTATATTTTTGGGAGGTAAGTGACCTGCCTGCGGCTAGTTGACTTTCCAGACTCATTCAGGAGCAAACATGGAGGTTTCTACTTGGTAACTATGTCCAGGTCCCAGGAGCTGAGGGTGGGTGTACCTACCTTAGAACCAATCTCATCATCTAACCCATTCCACCAAATTCTGCCTGAAATTTCTCTTCTGCCCTTCATCTCCTGAGGTTACAGACTTGTGAAATGCACAGGGTCATTAGGTGTGGTGGACCTCTAATCCTAGCACTCAGGAGGCTGAAACAAGAGCATCTCCAATTCAAGGCCAGACTAGGCTACATATTGAAATCCTGTCTCAAACAAACTAACTGAATTAGTCAGGTGTTCTACTTTTTTTCTCCGTTGCTGTGACAAAACACAATACCAACTTAGGGAGGAAAGGGTTCATTTAGCTCATATGATCCGGGTCACAGTTCATCAGGAAGCCCAAGGTAAGAGGAACTCAGGGCAGGAACCTGAAAGCAGGAGCTGGAGCACAGGCCATAGAAGAATGCTGTTTACTGGCTTGCTGCCCTGGCCCCTGCTCAGCCTTCTTTTTTATGCAACATAAGCCCACCTGCCCACCACTGTGGGTGGTGGGTTGGGCCCTCCCACATCACTCATTAATCAAGAAGATGCCCCACAGGCCAATTCAATGGAGGCAATCCCCCAATCGAGGCTCCCTCAACCCAGGTGTGTCAAGTTGACACTAAAGCTATCCAGCACATTAGGGTTCGCTGGGGGATCAGAATGGACAGTGTGTATATATCAAAAGGGGATTTATTAGGTATATGTGATATAGTTTGGGTAATCCAACGATGGCTGATTTATAATGGAGAGACTGAGAATCCAGGAGCTGCTCAGTCCACCAGGCTGGATGTCTCAGCAGTCCCAAGCAGCTGTCACCTGGAGGATTCTGGGAGAGCTGCTGGTCTTCAGTCTACACTGGAAGCCTGAAGAATCTGGTTGTGCTACCAGTGAAGCAATGCAGCGAGGCAGCATCAGGATAGATGAACTTGCCAGCAAGAGTGAAGACAAGCAGGCAAAAAGCAAAGTTTCCTTCTTCTGTGTCCTTTCATCTGGGCTGCCACCAGAAGGGACCCCCACACACACACTCATACATATTTAGGGTTGGGTTTTCCCACTTCAAATAACTTGATCAAGACAATCCCTCAAAGGAGTACCCAGGGACTTGCCTCTCCTAAACTTTGCTTGTGTGGGAAATGATCAAGAAAAGGTATGGAAGATGTTTGTAAATATGTGTGTTTGCACACGTACATATGTGTGTGTGGTACTTGTGTGCATATACACATTTTATAGAACACAGGGGGTAAAAGGCTAAACTGTTACTTACTAGCCGTTCATACCAGACACATGACAGGGTGTAAATTTTTTTTTTTTTTTTTTTTTTTTTTTTTTTTTTTTGAAACGGGGGTTTTTTTGTCTTTTTGAAGCAGGGTCTCCCTGTAGCCCCAGCTGTCCTGGAACTCACTATGTAGACCAGGCTGGCCTTGAACTCACAGAGATCCACCTGCCTCTCCCTCCCAAGTGCTGGGACTACAGGCATGCACCACCACAGGGTATATTTTTCTAGACAGAAGGAATGAGTCCTGGGCCTTTTCTGTTTTCCCTACGGACCTGAGCAGAGCTAGTTGTTTCTATGGTCCAGCAGTTGGTAAGTCCCAGGCAGGCTGAGGGGTGAACCTGGAGGATCATCTTAAATGGAAGCTCAGGTGTGTTAAGGCCAACCATTGAAGCAAGCTGTAAGAGTTAGGGGCTGCTTTAGTGTTCAAGTACACATGATTATCCTCAGAAAATCAGGCAAGTCTTTTCCATCTCTGAGTCAAGAGAATAAAGAGTTCATACATAGGTGTGCAGGAAACCTCTTGAAGAGCTAGATAGCCTTGGGGTTGGAGAGATGGCTCAGCAGTTAAGCTGTTGTTGCAGAAGACTCAGGTTTGGTTCCAGCACCAGCACCCACATGGTGGCTAACAATCATCATTAACTCCAGTCCAGGGGATCCAACGCCCTCTTCTGACTCTGTGGGCACTGCACAACATGGGTACACTTAGATACATGCAGGCATAACACTCATACATATAAAATAAAAATAATTTTAAAAAATGATAGCCAAGCCAGAAGAAAACAAATCATAGTAGATTGTAGGGATGGGGGTCTAGGCTGAGTCAGGGGATGCTTCCCTACTTCAATTGTGGTCTTGCTAAGTGTGGGTCCTGGGTGCGAGTTGGGATGAGCTGCATTCCTAGGGCTGCTTTGTGTGAGCAGGGCTGCTGCAGGCACCTTCTCCTCCAACCTCCTGAAGGAGGATTTCCTTCTTACTCTGAAATTTGGTTTCTACCCCTGCCCCAATCTTGCATTTTCTCGCCTGTAGACTGAGTCACCCTTATGCAAATGCTTGGGACCAGAAATGTTTTGGATTTGGTATTTTTAATTTTTTTAAAATTTTGGAACATTTTCCTCTATATGAAATATCTTAGGGATAGAATTGAGTTTAAGTACAAAATTCATTTATGTTTCATATATATCTTAGACACAGAGCCTACAGGGAATTTTGTACAACGTTTTAAGTAATTTTGTGCTTGAAACAAAGTTTGGACATTGAACCTTCAGAGGGCAGATGTGGAGATGCCCATTGTCAGTGCTCACAGAGCTTCAGATGTTGGAACAGTTCCAGTTTGAGGTTTTCCGATTAGGCATGTCCATCCTGTATAGGATTTAGCATCTGTAGTCTCCAGTCCCAAGGGAAGAAAAGGGCTGTCCTGCTCACCCTTTGAGGAACATTCAGTCGCCTGAGGCACTTCCCTGTGATTGGCATACTTGAGTCCTCTCTCACAGAGTGCCATTGGAAAAGCTGCTGGGCTCCTGGTACACATAAATAAGCCCCTGCAGTGTGACAAAATCTACAGATTGGCCACAGGACTCCATGGGCTTTGGCTGAGCTCAGCTGAGTGGCTCTAAGCTGTAGGTTGGCTGTATCGGCTTTTATTTTCTTTGCACTGACAGCCTGTCCTTAATTATCTTTCCATGGCAATAGCAGAGGAAGCAGAGAGATGAGCAGAAACAAGGTCTACACTCAGACTGCACTTAAGCCAGTTAGCCAAAGCATACCAGCAGCCAGGAAGGGGAGGAGACACAGAGTGGAAGAAACTCAGATCAGAGTAGGGTAAAGAATCGAGGGAGGACTAATAATTCAGCTTTCCACAGTCTTGATCACTGAATTGAAAACTGTGAGGACTGAGGAAAACTTACCAGCCTGAGGGAAACTGCAGAAAAGCTGATTGCGATGAGAGAGAAAACCTAAAACAACGCAGTGGTGCAGAAAATAAAGAGATGAGTGAGATCGCGGATCCTGCTCTTTGTAGAACAGGAAGCCCAGAAATGATGTACAGATAGGATGCCACAGAACCACTAAATAAAGGAATTTGAAAAGAAACCGTCTGTGCAACAAAATGTTGCTCTGTAGATCTTTAGCTAACAGCTCACTGGTCTGAGTCACTCCCTAGCAATAGCTTAGGTTCTCCTAAAAGGGACACAGGGTTCTGTAAGACAGGAGTAGTGGGGGCAGTCTTGAAATTCTAGTATCTGGGAGGAGGTAGAGGCAGAAGGATTCTTGGCTACCTACAGAGTTTGAGGCCAGCCTGGGTTTCAAGAGACTCTGTTTTAAGACAAAACAAAATGGCTTAAGGAAGAATAGAGAATAGGAGTAAAAACGTAGACTACTCATACAAGGAGAGATGAAGGCAAATTTGAGTCATTTAGTAAAAGAAAAGGGAGTGCACT